CGTTCAGGGTCAGCACGTGGCTGAAGGCAGCTTCGTTTTCCAGCAGCTTGGCCAGGTCTTTGGCCAGCAGACTGATGGATTGGGCCGGCTTCTCGCCGCCGTAGATTACGGCAGGAACCAGGCTCTCGTTACGACGCAGGCGGCGGCTCGCACCTTTCCCCAGGTCGGAACGCACTTCGGCATTCAGGGCAAAATTAGTCATTACAGTTCTCCAAATAGACCAAACCGTCCGAAGCGCTTGCGACCAGCGTGCGGACGGTTGGGCAAAAAGCCCCGCACGTGGCGGGGCGCTTGTCGCCAGGCATGTTCCGCTTAGCGGAACATCGCGCTGATCGATTCTTCGTTGCTGATGCGGCGAACCGCTTCAGCGATAACCGGGGCCATGTCCAGCTGACGGATGCGGGAGCAGGCCTGAGCCGCGGCGGACAGCGGGATGGTGTTGGTCACCACCAGTGCGTCCAGCACGGAGTTTTCCAGGTTCTCGATGGCGCGGCCCGACAGCACCGGGTGGGTGGCGTAGGCGTAGACCTTCGAGGCGCCGTGCGCCTTCAGTGCCTTGGCGGCATGGCAGAGGGTGCCGGCGGTGTCGACCATGTCGTCGACCAGCACGCAGGTGCGGCCTTCGACATCGCCGATGATGTGCATGACTTCGGAAACGTTGGCTTTCTCACGACGCTTGTCGATGATTGCCAGGTCGACGCCCAGGCTCTTGGCCACGGCGCGGGCGCGAACCACGCCGCCGATGTCCGGGGACACGATCATCAGGTTCTCGAAGCGCTGATCCTGAATGTCGTCAGTCAGCACCGGCGAGCCGTAGATGTTGTCCACTGGCACGTCGAAGAAGCCCTGGATCTGGTCGGCGTGCAGGTCGACGGTGAGTACGCGGTCGATACCCACCACGGTCAGCATGTCGGCCACCACCTTGGCGCTGATAGCCACGCGGGCGGAGCGCGGGCGGCGATCCTGGCGGGCATAGCCGAAGTAGGGGATGACAGCGGTGATACGCGTCGCCGAGGAACGGCGGAAGGCGTCAGCCATCACCACCAGTTCCATCAGGTTGTCGTTGGTCGGCGCGCAGGTTGGCTGGATGATGAAAACATCCTTGCCACGCACGTTCTCGTTGATCTCGGCGCTGATTTCGCCGTCGGAGAACTTGCCTACGGAAGCATCGCCCAGAGGGATATGCAGCTGACGCACGATGCGACGAGCCAGATCGGGGTTGGAGTTCCCCGTGAAGACCATCATCTTGGACACGCGCAGTACCTGCCTGGTGTGGTTCCGATGAAAAAAGCTGTTCAAAAAGGCCGGCTTTCTGAACAGCTTTCGAGTATATGGCAGGGGCGGCTGGATTCGAACCAACGCATGGCAGGATCAAAACCTGCTGCCTTACCGCTTGGCGACGCCCCTGTATCGCGTCCCGCATTCACTTCCGAGTTACCGTTTCCAGCCTGCGGTGCAAAGGAGACCTGTTGCAGCCGCGAGCAATGAAGCTCGGCAGGGTGTCCGGAAGTTGGCGCGAGACTTTATCAGCATCGGCCTGGTTTGGGAAGCTCCCAAACACGCAAGCTCCGGTTCCGGTCATCTTCGCATCAACAAATTTGTTGAGCGTTTTCAGGGCGTTACGCACTTCGGGGTAACGCTTCTCGACAACCGGTTGGCAGTCGTTATGACCACCCCCCTCGGGAAGGCTGCGAACTGTAATGGCGGGGGTATCGCGTGTCAACTCGGGCGCGGCAAAAACTTCCGCGGTGCTGACATTGACCTGCGGGATTGCGACGAGGAACCAGGGTTCGGCCAGCTCGACCGGTTGCAGCTGTTCGCCCACACCTTCGGCGAAGGCCGCGCGGCCGCGCACGAACACCGGCACGTCGGCACCCAGCGCCAGGCCCAGCTCGGCCAGGCGCTCTTCACCTAGGTGGGTCTGCCACAGGTGATCGAGGCCAAGCAGGGTAGTGGCGGCATCCGAGCTGCCGCCGCCGATGCCGCCGCCCATGGGCAGGCGCTTGTCCAGCCAGATATCGGCGCCCAGCCGGGTTGCGGAGGCTTCCTGCAGGCGCCTGGCGGCGCGCACGATCAGGTTGCTGTCATGCGGTACGCCGGGAACTTCGGTGTGCAGCCGGATCTCGCCGTCCTGGCGCAGGGTGAAGCCCAGTTCGTCGCCGTAGTCGAGGAACTGGAACAGCGTCTGCAGCAAGTGATAGCCGTCGGCCCGGCGGCCGAGGATATGCAGCATCAGGTTGAGCTTGGCCGGCGCGGGCAGGACCAGTTCGGCGTGATCGGGGATGGCTGGAGTAGTCATGGGTGTTCGATGCGGTAGCGGCAGTGGTCATCCCTCCCCCGTTTACGGGAGAGGGGAAGGGGGAGAGGGTTGGCGGTGTAGCCCCCTGGCCCTCTCCCCGAGGGGAGGGGGAATAAGACGGCTTACTGGCCGAGCTGGCGCGGCTGCCAGTCCTTGATCACCAGAGTGATGTCGAGGTCGGTGCCGTGCAGCTTGATGCGCTCGGGCAGGCGATAGCCGTTCTGCTCGACATAGCTCAGGTACTGCAGCTGCCAGCCGTCCTGTTCCAGGCGCGCCAGGTGGCTGTCGTTGTCGAGGGTCACTCGGCTCCTACTGTCCGGTGCCGGCAGGCCGCGCACCCACCAGAACAGGTGGGAGACCGGCAGGCGCCAGCCCAGCTGTTCTTCCAGCAGGGCCTCGGGCGATTCGGCTTCGTAGCGGCCCTGGTTGGCCACCTCCAGCAGCACATTGCCTTCGCGTCCGGTCAGGCGTGCGGCGCCGCGGCCGAGCGGGCCGGACAGGCGGATGTCGAAGTAGTCCTGGCGCTGCAGCCAGAACAGCGTGCCGCTACCAGAGTCGCGTGGGGCGCGAATGCCGACCTTGCCGCTGATCTGCCAGCCGTCGAGGGCGGCGACCTGGGCCTTGTGCGCTTGCCAGAGCTTGGCATCGCCCTGGCCTTCGACGGACTCGCGGCTGGTGAGGCCGGCGCAGCCGGCGAGGAGGGTGAGCAGGCTGAAAACGAGGGCGTGGCGAAACATGGATCAGGGCTTCTCGGAACCGGTCAGGCGCTTGATGGTGGTGCGCAGGATGGGGCTGTCGGGCTTGGCTTCCAGGGCGGTGGTCCAGACCTCGCGGGCTTCGCGTTGCTTGCCCTGGACCCACAGCACTTCGCCCAGATGGGCGG